AATTGCTGTCCACATTCTTGCCAACATGCTATGTAAACAGACTTTTAAACTTTTTGATGGTATGATGAAAGTAAAAAGTTATTTCTTAAAATTATTCCTTCAAAAGTTTTCACTATGGATATTTCTTTATTTTTTCATATGAATGTAAGGAATAGGTCCCTTGAAAATACTGCTGATTTCATTTTCCTTTCCCTGATTAACATGTTTTTGGCCTTTCATGTTTCTTTTTTTTATAAATATCATATTCATGTCCTTTGCCCATTTTTCCATTGTTTTGGTATTATTAATAAGTAGGAGTACTACTTCTTTGTTATATGCCTTTTCATTTTGTGTTTGATGACTGCTTTTAACAGCGGTTTTAAAAATTTAATCAAATGTATTAGTCTTTTCCTGTATGATTTATATTTTTGTGTTGCTTTTCCTATCTTGTTCAGTAAATCATTCTCTACCTTCATGTCATTAAGTCGTTCTCCCATGTTTTCTTCTGAAAGTTTAAGATTTGCTTTTCACATTTCTTTCTTTCATCCATCTAGATTCTATTTAGGGACTCTGTGAGATTCAAGCCTAACTCAATTATCATATGGATACCCAATTGTCCCACCATTGTTTATTGAACCATGGTATCTTTTTTGCTTATTTATAAAATAAGCAAAATACCAAGTGCCATGTATACGTTTGTGTCCGGGCTTTCTGTTACTGCTATGTTTACCTGTGCCTAAAGCAATATTGCACTTTTAATTACTATAGCTTTATTACAAAGTCTCCTCTCACAATTGTGGTTCTTCAAAATTGTATTGACTTTCCTTTGTTTTTTGTTTGTTTGTTTTTAATCTATCAAAGAAATTTCAAAATTAACTTCTAGAATTGTATTGCTTGGTATATTAATTTGTGAGAATGTATTCATTTCCTTTTTAAAATAACCTTTATTGAAATATACAGAATTATGCACAAATCATAAGTGTACAGCTTAGTGAATTTTCACAAAGTGTACCCATTTGAGTATCCCAAAACCAGGTTGAGAAGTAGAACAATAGAATGGAAATGAACACATTCTAAAAGCTCCACTTGTAGAGTATGAGAGGGCCTCCCAGTAGCTACTTCCCCCCCTGAAAGTTAATCACTGTCTTAATATCTTTTACCAAAGAATAATAATTTTGGTTATTTTTGCTTGTTTTTGAGCCTTATATTAATAGAGACATACAATATATACTCTTTGTGTCTGGCTTCTTTGATTCAACATTGGTTTTATACAGTTCATCCGTATTTTTTGCATATTATTTATTTCCATTGTCATAGAGAATTTCATTGTATAAATACATGATAACTTTTCTGTTCTATTGATAAACATTTGAGTTACTTCCAATTTAGTACTATTATGAAAAGTATTACTGTGAACATTCTTTTACATTTTTTTTAATATACATCGTATACATTTCTGTTAGACATGTACCTAAGAGCAGAATTGTTCAGATACGTTTACTTTCAGCTTTAATAGATTCTGCCAAACAGTTTTCCAAAATAGTGTACAATTTACTTCCCCAGTAGCAGTATATAAAAATTCCAGTTGTTTTGCATCTTTGCCAAAGCTTAATACTGGCAGTTTTTGGTTTTAACTTTAGCCATTTAGTGAAGTGATGTGGTCTCTCTGATTTGGTTTACATTTTCTTAATGATTTCAATGATGTCATCTTACTGGCCATTTGTGTTTTTTCTCTTGTCATTCATTCATTCATTCATTTAGGCTGCATTGGGTCTTTAGTTGTGGCACTGCGAGGTCTTTGTTGTGGCCTGTGGGATCTTGCACTGCAGCACATGGGCTTCTGTCTAGTTGTGGCTTGCAGGTTTTCTCTCTGTAGTTGTGGCACATGGGCTCCAGAGCATGTGGGCTCTGTAGTTTGTGGCATGCAGGGCTCTCTAGTTGAGGCGCTCAACAAGCTCAGCAGTTGTGGCGCATGAGCTTAGTTGCCCCATGGCATGTGGGACCTTAGTTCTCCAACCAGGGATCGAACCCACGTCCCCTGCATTGCAGGATGGATTCTTTACCACTGGACCACCAGGGAAGTCCCTCTCTTGTCATTTAAAAATTTTTTTTTCAGCCATATTTCTTGAGGTTGTCTTTCTTTTGATTTGTGGGAGTTCATTATGTATACTGTATTCGGGTCTTTGGGAAATACTTAGTACATATATCTTCCATTCCATAATTTTTCATTCTCTTAATTACATCTTTTAATGAATAAAAGTTCTTAATTTTAATGTACTCTAATTTTCAGCGTTTTTCTTTACAATTAATTGTGATTCATGATCAGCTTATGAAATCTTCATCTACCCCAAGGTCATATGTTACTGTCTAATAACCTTATAGTTTTTCCCTGTCTTTCAAATCTGTAATCCACCTGGAATTGATTTTTATGATGTAACTTAAGAAATCAAGATTTAAAATTTTTCTATATGGATATCTTTTTGACTCAGCACTAGTTATTAAAAGGAACATCCTTTGTCCACTGTGCTACAGTGTCACTTTTGTTGTAAGTCAGGAAACTGTATACATGTCAGTCTGTTCTGGACTGTATTCTGTTCCACTGGTCTATTTGTGTCTGTGCCGGAATCACACCAGTTTAATTATTGTAGCATTACAATATTGAGCCTTCTAGTCTATGAACATGGTGCTTTCTTTAATTTACTTAGGCCTTCTTTAATTTCTTTCAATAATGTTTTGTAGTTTTCTCTTTAGAAGTCTTGGTCATTTTGTTAGGTTTATTCCTAGGTATTTGATTTCTTTTGATACTATGGTAAATTATATCATTAAATTTTTTAAATTTGTAATTGTTGCTAAAATATAGAAATAAAGTTGGCATTTGAATACTGAACTTAGGCCCAGAGCTCTTGCTCAATTCATTTGTCAATTCTAATAATTTTCATAGATTACTTTAGATTTTTCTGGAAACACAGTTTTTCCTGTATGTCATTATTCCTTTATGTAGGAATAATGACAGTTTCATAACTTCATCATTTTCTTTCCAATTCTTATACCTTTTATTTCATTTTCTTGCAATTTTTTAAATGAATGGATATTGAATTTTATCAGATGCTTTCTGTGTGTCATTGGAGAGCATCATGATTTCTGTATTCTGTTAATGTGGTGAATTACATTGATTGGCTTTTGAATATTAAACCAACCTTACATTCCTCAAAAATTCTAAATGGTTTGTATATCCTTGGATTGTCTTATTAATATTTTATTAAGGAGTCTTGCATATATTATATATTTATGGATGAAACTGACCTGTATTTTTTTTTCTTGTAATGCTCTTGTCAGGTTTTGATGTCAAGATTATGTTGGCTTTCTGAAATGATTTGGGAAGAGTTCCCTCTTGTTCTCTTCTCTAGAAGAGTTTTTGTAAGATTGGTGCTATTTCTTTCTTATATGTTTACAAGAATTCAGTGGGGAAGTTATCTGGGTTTGGGGTTTTTCTTTTGGAAGGGCTTTTAATTACAGATTTAATTCTTCAATCGGTATAGGATTATTCAGATTTTCTATTTCTTGTGTAATTTCTGTCAATTTTAAAAAAGAAATCTGTTCATTTAATTTGAATTTTCAAAACATTTCATATGCCAAATGTTCATTTGTTTATAATAGGCTTATTATTTTTTAACATCTGTAGGAGAATTTTAAAAATTTTAATCATAAGTTTTATCATTCTACTTGTACCAAGTTTGTTTCCTTTGCTCTTACTGTGCTAGGCTCTTTCTGTTCCAAGAAACACAGATTCACTCAAGTTCCTTCAAGTAATGGAGATTCATGAGGCTCATTATAAAGCCATATGTAATCCTAAGAGAAAGGAATCACACAGGAAGAGCAAGATCTCTAGTATACCTTGGCTTTAGGGAGACTGGAAATGTATGGTTAATAAGGATATGGGATATCTTTAGAGATGGGAACAGGTTTACTTTTTAATACCTTTAATAGTAAGACTTTCTAATGCTTTACTCTAATGCCCCCATTATTTGCATGAAGTTTCTTAATTCCTCTTGGCTCTTCTGTATTTTTTCTTTCCCTGCCCTACCTTTTGGTTACTCATAACTTCTTACTCATGGTCCCCAGTGCCTCGTAGCCTCATTTTGTGTTTCTTTTCAACCTCTCCTCCAGTTTGACTGAACCTCTCCATGGTTCTCGATTTCAGCTCCCAAGAGATTAGTTGATTAGTTTCAGAAGACGGGTATGTGAAGCCACCTCTTAGGCTGTTGGTCAGTTACCGATTGGTTACTCTTGCCCAGGCAGGTATTGCCAAGAGTGGTGGGTCCACATAGCATAGCACATGGATGCCTTAGGCTAACTCCTCTGTAGGGGGCTGCAGCTGGACAGTTTCTCTTAGGATGAGTCTATACATGGCAAGTACTAGAAATAGCTAATACAGGTAAGTTCTAGAAATTAAATCATTGCAAGTGTTGCAGCTTTTCTCCCATTTTCACTTATTCTGGTGAACTACCAGTGAGTAATTAAATCCTGATAAAACCAATATCTAGAATTTGGTATTATCCATCCCTTTAGCAGTTATCCCTCTTTAACTGAAAATAGTCATGTGCTACCAACCCAGATTAGGGCTTTCTGCAATTAGATGTGTAATATCTATAATTTTAGTATGGACAAATGGAAATTGATAGATTTTAAATGTAAGTAATATAAAAAACAGACATAGGTAGATTAATGATTATTTAAAGAGAAAGCCATAGTATTTATCTCGTTTAGGTTGCTTCTTGTTATTTCCTTTTTTAAGTCCAGAAAGAACCATGTGTGCTGCTAAGACTTCACTGTTCTGTAATAGCACAGGTCAAGTTGAAAACAAAGAGGTCCTCTTTCCTTTTGTGATACTTAATGGGTGACATATTTAAACACAACACCTTAATCTTTTGCCTAATGCATTCTCATTTATGGAATAAATTGTAGCTATTACATAGAAGCCCCTCTAGTACAATAAGTGAAATTGCTTTTTAATTTTCTAGGGGGACTCAGAGAGAGTAATGATAATTACTGGACCAAACATGGGTGGAAAGAGCTCCTACATAAAGCAAGTTGCATTGATTACTATCATGGCTCAGATTGGCTCCTATGTTCCGGCAGAGGAAGCAACAATTGGAATTGTGGATGGCATTTTCACAAGGTAAAAACATTAGTTCTGTTTGAATATATTTCTGACAATAAATCAAGCCCACATCGTCACATGAATTTTCTTCTTACGTACATAGTTAGGTGAACAGATTTGCTATTTAGAATTTCGGAACTTAAAGAAATCATTTCATCATGAAATTAAATATCAGAAGAGACCTAGGAGATCATTTTGTCTGGTCATTTTCAACTTGTTGTTAGTTACCGAGTTCTTTCTTAAAGGAAATTATTTGTAGAAGTTGAAAATTAAACAGATAAAAGCAGATCTGCTCTGCCTTAATCAGAGGTAGAAGGCTTGAACCTAAATGTCCATCGACAGATGAATGGATAAAGAAGGTGTGGTACATATATACAATGGAATATTACTCAGCCATAAAACAGAATGAAGTAATGCCATTTGCAGCAACATGGATGGATCTAGAAATTATATTAAGTGAAGTAAGTCAGACAAAGACAAATATCATATATCACTTATATGTGGAATCTAAACAATGATACAAATGAACTTATTTACAAAACAGAAACAGACTCACAGACTTAGAAAACAAACTTATGGTTACTAAAGGGGAAAGGTGGAGGGAGGGATAAATTAGGAGGTTAGAATTAACATATACACATTACTATATATAAAATAGATAAACAACAAGGACCTACTGTACAGCACAGGGAACTCTACTCAATACTCTGTAATAACCTATATGGGAAAAGAATCTGAAAAGGAATAGATATATGTATATGTATAACTAAATCACTTTGCTATACACCTAAAACTAACACAACATTGTAAATCAACTATACTGCAATATAAAATAGAATTTTTCTTAATTTCAAAAAAAAGAGGTAGAAGGCTTGGAGACTTGGCTTCTAGGCTCTATAAAGCAGTCTGCAACCTAGTCTACCGTCCTTATTTTATAGGTCGGGAACTGACAACAGACTGGAAAAGGCACTGGCCCAAGATAATTTAATTCATATTCTTTTTTGCTCTAAGGACATAACATGCAACTGGCTAAGATTTACCCTCAACCTATAAACCTAAATTGCATGCCATATTAGGAATATAGGTGAAATATCGTGGTCTCACCAATTAGGATTCATAGTTTAATCTATTTACTCAGATTTATCAGTTCTTAAAATATTATTTATACTTCTTATACTTACATTTTTAGAAAAAGGTAAATATAGTCTATAGTGTATAGTCAAAGTATATGTGTAGAGTGTCTGATTTATTTTCCTGCTTATTTAATATTTGACCCTTGAACACATCAGAATATATCACATGCTAAGGTTCATGCAGTTGAGTAGACATTAAAACACTTTAAGGCTTGGGTTTTAATCAGAGAATGAACAAAGCAAAGCAACCTAAATTCTGTTGGGTTGGCTAAAAGGTTTGTTCCTTTTTTACCGTAAGATGGCTCTAGTAGTTCTTAGCTGTCTTTAACTTCATTTGAAACAATTTTGTTAGATTGTATTGTGACAGCTGTCACATCAGCGTGCATTTAAAAAAAACATCAAAATTGGTGAATTTTTGTGTAGTCATTTTAATATTGAAGATGGAAGAAGAAAGCAACATTTTCAGTGTATTATGCTTTATTATTTCAAGGAAGGTGAAAAGGCAACTGAAATGCAAAAAAAGATTTTGCATGTATGGAGAGGGTGCTGTGACTGATCAAATGTGTCAAAAGTGGTTTGTGAAGTTTTGTTGTGGAGATTTCTTGCTGGACAATGCTCCACGGTCAGGTAGACCAGTAGAAGTTGATAGCGATCAAATCGAGACATTCAATGAGAACAATCAACGTTATACCACGTTGAGATACCCAGGAGATACCAGGAGATACCGACATACTCAAAATATCCAAATCAAGCATTGAAAATCATCTGCACCAGCTTGGTTATGTTAATCGCTTTGATGTTTGGGTTCCACGTAAGTTAAGTGAAAAAAACCTTCTTGACTGTATTTCCACGTCCGATTCTCTGCTGAAACATAATGAAAATGTTCTGTTTTTAAAACAAGTTGTGACGGGCAATGAAAAGTGGATATTGTACAATCATGTGGAATGCAAGAGATCGTGGGGCAGGCGAAATGAACCGCTACCAACCACACCAAAGGCTGGTCTTCATCCAAAGAAGGTGATGTATTGTGTGCATCGTGGGATTGGAAGGGAGTCCTCTATTATGAGCTCCTTCCGGAAAACCAAACTATTAATTCCAACAAGTACTGCTCCCATTTAGACCAACTGAAAGCAGCACTCCATGAAAAGTGTCCATAATTATTCAACAGAAAATGCATTGTCTTCCATCAGGATAACACAAGACCACATGTTTCTTTGATGACCAGGCAAAAACTGTCACAGCTTGGCCGGGAAGTTCTAATTCATCCACCGTATTCATGAGACATTGCACCTTCAGATTTACATTTATTTCGGTCTTTACAAAATTCTCTTAAAGGAAAAAATTTCAATTCCCTGGAAGACTGTAAACAGTTCTTTGCTCAAAAAGATAAAAATTTTTGGGAAGATGGAATTATGAAGTTGCCTGAAAAATGGCAGAAGGTAGTGGAACAAAACAGTAAATATGTTGTTCAATAAAGTTCTTGGTGAGGGCTTCCCTGGTGGCGCAGTGGTTGGGAGTCCGCCTGCCAGTGCAGGGGACACGGGTTCAGGCCCTGGTCCAGGAGGATCCCACATGCTGCAGAGCGGCTGGGCCCGTGCGCCACAGCTGCTGGGCCTGCGCTCTAGAGCCCGTGCTCCGCAACAAAAGAAGCCACCGCAGTGAGAGGCCCGCGCACTGCAATGAAGAGTAGCTTGCACCCACGTACAGCAATGGAGACCCAATGCAGCCAAAAATAAGTAAATAAAATTAAAAAAAAAAAGTTCTTGGTGAAAATGAAAAATGTGTCTTTTCTTTTGACTTAAAAACCGAAGACACTTTTTGGCCAACCCAATATTTGATGCCGTATCACCAAACAGATGTTATTTTGATCTCCATATATTTGTAAATGAACTCAATATAATAAATTTTAAAAATATTTCTTTAGTTTTTAACATTATAATTAATTTTCTATTTCCTAAGAAAAAATACTAGGTATTTTATTTTGGTTACATTATTAGGAGGAGTGACAAGAGAAATTTCATCAATAGAAAAAAGATAAAAGGAAGAGAAAAATAAAAAGAAAGAAAAAATATCTTGGGCAATGTAAGGTAATTTGTCTGGAAGAGAATCTTGTTAGCAGAATATCAGGAATGTTTTTAGATACAAGTAATAGAAAAGAAAATAAGGGTTTACTTTTCTCATTTAACAAGGAAGCTTGAAGTAGGTGACCACTTCTGATGTTTCAGTGGCTCTGCAGTTTTGTTGTCTTCTCCTCATAGTTGCAAGATAGTTGCTGTGACTCCAGACATCACATTGATATTCATATGAGGAAAAAGGGAAAAGGAATGCAAAAGCTTCTCCTTTTTTTCAGGAAATCAGTACTTTTTCAGAAGCCTCCCAGAAAACTTTCACTTACATTTCGCTAACCAGCGCTGTGTCTCATGGCCATAATTACAAGCAAAACAAAGTATGAATTTGATTTTATCCAGCTTTTATAACGGAGTTAGGCAAGGGACAGGTGTTCAGGAATGGATTTAGAGGTAACCAGAAAATAGTTTCTGCCACAAGGAATGAATTCAATGATAATAACAATAACTAACCTTTGTGATTATAACATATTTATAATATTAGTATAATAAAATTCTTACTAATGTATAGAACCTGTTGTATGTATATAAAGTATATTCGATGAGAGCAAATATAAACCTTCTGGAAAAGGACGAAGTGCATTAATTCAACAAATTTGGATCTTTATCCATTCATTTTCATTTGTTCATTCATCCAACATATACTAACTTGGCATCTAACATATGACAAGCACTCAGAATACAAAGCAATCATAGTTTCTGTTCCCATGAAGTTTACCTGATGGAGAAGATCAGCATAAGCCCAAAAATTGTATAAAGAAATGTAAAATTGCAGCTGTGACAAGTCTACAAAGGCTAGGTATATGAGGCTGTGGCAGCCTGTGGTGCTGGGACCTGATCTGGTCAGGAACGTCAGGAGAAGGCTTCCTTTAGCAAGTGATGTGTAATCTGAAGGAGGCGTTAACTAATCAAAGGAAAGAAGAGCATTTCAGACCAAGAAAGCAGCATGTGCAAATGTTCTTTCACATTAAAAAAAACTGTAGTGAGACAACAGCTGAAGGGTGGCCCTCTAGGGGAGCAAGATTCTCCATGAAGCTGAAGACGATAGGTAAGGGCAAGTTACACAAAGTGTAGGCCGTGTTAGGAGTTTGTGTGAGAGCCATGGGAAACCATTGAAGGGTTTTAAGCAGGGCTTGGTATGATCACATCTACATTGGCTGAAATGCAGAGAATGTTTGGAGGAAGGACACAGTTGATCAGTGCAGTCTTATCAGTAGGCCCTTGCGGTGGCCTTGGTGAGAGGTGTCAGTAGTTTGGACTGGGTTGTAGTGTTAGTTTAAATGGAAAGGAGTCGTATTTGAAAGGTAATAAATAACAGGAAATAAATCAACAGGATTTGGTGATAGATGGGATATGAGGCTGAGATAAATGGAGTTTTCAGCGATGACAGTGGTTTGTGCATCTGGGTGGAGAATGCCGGCATTTACTGGAAGAGAGTGATTTTTTTTCCTTGGATCCTGACTTTATTTTTGGTTTTTTGATTTACAATGTTGTGTTAGTTTCAGACGTACAGCAAGGTGATTCAGTTATACATATATTCATTCTTTTTCAGATTCTTTACCCATGTAGGTTATTATAGAATATTCAATAGGACCTATACAGTAGGTCCTTGTTGGTTATCTATTTTATATATAGTAGTGTGTATATGTTAATCACAAGCTCCTAATTTATCCCTCCCCCACTCATTTCCCCTTTGGTAACCATAAATTTGTTTTTGAAACCTGTGAGTCTGTTTCTGTTTTGTAAATAAGTTATTTGT